CATAGAGCCTGCCCCATAGCGCTGCCCCAGGTACTGCCCCATAGAGCCTGCCCCATAGCGCTGCCCCAGGTACTGCCCCATAGAGCCTGCCCCATAGCGCTGCCCCAGGTACTGCCCCATAGAGCCTGCCCCATAGCGCTGCCCCAGGTACTGCCCCATAGAGCCTGCCCCATAGCGCTGCCCCAGGTACTGCCCCATAGAGCCTGCCCCATAGCGCTGCCCCATAGAGCCTGCCCCATAGCGCTGCCCCAGGTACTGCCCCATAGAGCCTGCCCCATAGCGCTGCCCCAGGTACTGCCCCATAGAGCCTGCCCCATAGCGCTGCCCCAGGTACTGCCCCATAGAGCCTGCCCCATAGCGCTGCCCCAGGTACTGCCCCATAGAGCCTGCCCCATAGCGCTGCCCCATAGCGCTGCCCCAGGTACTGCCCCATAGAGCCTGCCCCATAGCGCTGCCCCAGGTACTGCCCCATAGAGCCTGCCCCATAGCGCTGCCCCAGGTACTGCCCCATAGAGCCTGCCCCATAGCGCTGCCCCAGGTACTGCCCATAGAGCCTGCCCCATAGCGCTGCCCAGGTATTGCCCATAGAGCCTGCCCATAGCGCTGCCCCAGGTACTGCCCCATAGAGCCTGCCCCATAGCGCTGCCCCAGGTACTGCCCCATAGAGCCTGCCCCATAGCGCTGCCCCAGGTACTGCCCCATAGAGCCTGGCCCATAGGGCCTGCCCCATAGCGCTGCCCCAGGTACTGCCCCATAGAGCCTGCCCCATAGCGCTGCCCCAGGTACTGCCCCATAGAGCCTGCCCCATAGCGCTGCCCCAGGTACTGCCCCATAGAGCCTGCCCCATAGCGCTGCCACAGGTACTGCCCCATAGATCCCACCCTACAGATCCTGCCCCCTCAATCCATGCCCTAGAGATCCCACCCCATAGATCCTGCCATACAGATACTGCCCCATAGAGCCTGCTTTAATGCCCACCCCATATTCCCTATAGATGTTGCTGGAGGAGATCCCACCACCACCAGGTGAGTTCTGCCCCATAAGTGGGGGGGTATGGGGGGTGCATGGGTGTCCATGGGGTGTATGGGGGGTGCATGGGTGTCTATGGGGTGGCTATAAGGTGTCCATGGGGTGTCTGGGGGGTTTGTATGGGGAGCTGTGGGGTGTCGTGGGGCACTATGGGATGCCTGGGGGGGGTCTATGGGGCTGACCCCCAAGTGCTGCCCCACTGCAGGCCCCCCCCTGACCGTGTCCCCTGAGGTCATCACCCTGAGAGAGCCTGAGCCCGAGGCCCTGGTGCTGCCCAGCATCGAGGTGGGTCTGCCCCATTTCGGCACTTGGGGGGCAGTTATGGGGCTCTGTGGACTCCAATGGAGTTACTGAACCCCTATGGGATGCTATGGGGCTGCCCCATAGAGGGGTTGGGGGTGCTGTTGGGCTGCCCTATAGGGGTTATGGGGCTGCCCTATCGGAGGTCAGGGCTTGCTATGGGGCTGCCCCATAGAGGGTTTGGGGGTGCTGTTGGGCTGCCCCATAGGGGTGATGGGGCTGCCGTATCAGAGGTTAGGGCTTGTTATGGGGCTGCCCTGTTGGAGGTTAGGGCTTGCTATGGGGCTGCCCCATAGAGGGTTTGGGGATGCTGTTGGGCTGCCCTATAGGGGTTATGGGGCTGCCATCGGAGATTAGGGCTTGCTAAGGGGCTGCCCCATAGAGGGTTTGGGGGTGCTGTTGGGCTGCCCCATAGGGGTTATGGGGCTGCCCTATTGGAGGTCAGGGCTTGCTATGGGGCTGCCCCATAGAGGGTTTGAGGGTGCTGTTGGGCTGCCCCATAGGGGTTATGGGGCTGCCTTATCGGAGGTTAGGGCTTGCTATGGGGCTGCCCCATAGAGGGTTAGGGGGCGCTGTGGGGCAGCTCCATAGCGCTATGGGGCACAGGAGGAGGAGCTGCCTGAGGTGACGCTGAGGGAGCTGGAGCTGCTGAGAGAGGCTGAGGCTGAACTGGGACCCCCAGGTATGGGGCCGGGGTCACTTATGGGGCTGGGGGGCAGGGGAGAGGCCTGGAGCTTCCCCAGCCCCACAGCGACCCCCAGTTGTGCCCCATAGAAGAGGAAGTGCCTGAGGTGCCGGAGCTGGTGGAGGTCCCACGTGAGCACTTATGGGGCACAGGGAGCACTTAGGGGTTTCTATGGGTCACTTATGGGGCTGGGGGGCACATATGGGTCTGGGGGGGTCACTAATAGGGCAGAAGGGTGCACTTATGGGGCTGAGGGAGACACAAGTCCCAAAGGGTCACAAGGGGTTACTTATGGGTCTCTGTGGGTCACTTGTGGGGCAGAGGGGTGCACTTATGGGGCTCAGAAGGGCAGTTACAGGGCCCACAGGGCACCAGGTCTGTGGGGTGTCATGGGTCACGGTGGGTCACTTATGGGGCAGAGGGGGTGCACTTACGGGACTGGGGGGTCACTTATGGGTCTCTATGGGGCACAGGGAGCACATAGGGGTTTCTGGGGGGGACACTTATGGGGCAGAAGGGGGGGTTTATGGGTCACACTTGGTCACTTATGGGGCAGCCTCTCCCCACAGCTCCCATCCTCCCTGCGGTGCCCCCTATCACGGTACGTGTGGGGCCTCTCTGGGGCTCTATGGGGTCTCTATGGGGCACTGATTCCTTCTACCCCCTGTAGCCTCCGGCTGCCCCACGGAGGCGCCGCCGGCGCCGCCTGCCCCATAGCGACCCCGAGCCGCAGCTCCCCCAGGCCCAGTTCCAGGCCCAGCTCCTGCAGCCCCAGAGCCACTGCCAGCCCCTGGTGAGTGGGGCCCATCTATGGGGCAGCCCCATAGATCTATGGGGCAGGAGCTAGAGATGCGCCCCATAGGTGCTGCCTGAGCCCCCCAAGAGGCGCCGCTGGACCCCAAAGCAGCTGCTGGAGACCCCGACCTGTGGTGGGTCTGTGGGGCACTATGGGGGTCTATGGGGCTCAATGACTCTCTATGGGGCTCTATAGGGCTCTGCTCTGCCCCATAGGGTGGCTGCCCCCCAGCCTCTGGGCCCTATGGAATCGCTGCCGGCTCCTGCCCCACATCGAGGCCCCCCCCGTGCCCCCTGAGCTGCCCAGTGAGGTGGAGGTGAGGTCCCTGCCCAATAGATCCCCCTTTAGCCCCATAGATTCCCATTCATCCCCATAGATGCCACCCCTGCCCCACAGATCCCCATTCAGCCCCACAGATTCTTCCCTTCAGCCCTAGATCTCTTCCCCTTCAGCCCCATAGATCCCCCCCTTCAGCCCCATAGATCCCCCCCTTCAGCCCCATAGGTCCCTATTTACCTGCACAGATTCCCCACTTCAGCCCCATAGATCCCTATTCAGTCCCACAGATTCTCCCCTTCAGCCCCATAGATCCCCTCAGCCCCATAGGTCCCTCCCCCTCTCTGCCCCATAGCTCCCTATTTACCTGCAGATTCCCCGCTTCAGCTCCATAGATCTCTCCAGCCCCATAGATCCCATTTAGCCCCATAGATCCCCCCATTCAGCCCCACAGATCCCCTTCTGTGCCCTGTAGGTGCTGCGAGAGGCGCTGGAGCCGAGCCTGCCCCCGCTGCCCTCCTCGGGTGAGCTATGGGGTGTCTGTAGGTCTGGGGGGGGATCTATGGAGCACTGTGGGGTGCCTATGGGGTGCTGTGGGGTGTCTATGGGGCACTGGGGTGCTGTGAGGTGTCTATGAGGTGCTGTGGGGTGTCTGTGGGGCGCTATGGGGTGTCTATGGGGCGCTGTGGGGTGTCTATGGGGCGCTGTGGGGTGTCTATGGGGCGCTGTGGGGCTCACGGCTCTGGGTCTCTCCCCATAGAGGTGTCTCTGGAGGTGTCAGAGGAGGAGCTCCGGCCCCGTCTGCTGATCCCTGAGGAGCGGCGGTGAGGGGCTGGGGGGGGGGGGCTCTGCGCCACACTTGTGGGTCCTGCCCCACACTTATGGGTCCCCCACTCTGCCCCACAGGCCCCTCCCTCCATTGCCGCCCCCCCCCCTCCCGGAGCTGCCCGAGCGCCCTGAACCAGAGCTGCCCCCCACTGCCCCCCCCAACATGGCCGCCCTGCGCAGGTTTGTGCCCCCCCCCCCCCCTATGGGGCAGCCCCATAAGTGCCTCCCACCCACACATATGGGGGTGCCCCCCCTTATCTATGAGGCTGCCCCATAAGTGCACCCCCCACTTACAGGGCAGCCCCATAAGTGGGGGGTGGGGGGGTACTTATGGGGCTGCCCCATAGGCTGGTGGCGGCTGTGGCACAGCAGCCTGGGGGGGGGGAGCTGGCGGCCATCTTGCCCCCCGGCGCCTCCCGGAGGCTCATGGGAAGGCTGTTCTACCTGTGCCTGGGTGAGTTGGGGGGCAGCCCCATAAGTGACCCTTTGGGACCCATAAGTGATTCCTAACCCCCCCTCCTCTGCCCAATAAGTGCCCCCCTGTGCCCCATAAGTGTGTCTGCCCCCAGGTGACCCCCCCTGACCCATAAGCGGACTTCCCCCTAAGTGACACCCCCAGCCCCATAAGTGACTCCTAACACCCGCTCAGCCCCACAAGTGTCTGCCCCCCAAGCTGCCCCCTGTGCCCCATAAGTAACCCCCACTTCCATAAGTGTGTTTGTTCGCCTCGTGTTGCAGATCTGCCCCATAAGTGATGCCCCAGCCCCATAAGTGAAATCCCCACCCCCATACATGCCCTTTTGAGCCCCATAAGTGACCCCCCAAGACCCCCCCCCAGCCCCATAAGTCTCCCCCCCAATAAGTGTGGGGCTGCCCCCTAAATGCCCTGTGCCCCATAGAGCTCTGCGGTGCGGGTTGGCTGCGGCTGGAGCAGACCCAGCCCTTCGGCCCCATAACTCTGCGGCCGGGGCCGCGTGGGGCACCCCCCGCTATGGGGCAGGAGGAGGAGGAGGAAGCGGTGGCCCCAGAGCCCTCCTATTAAAGCTCTCTGGACCCAGTGGAGGCTCCTGATTGGTTCGCAGTGTGATGATGTCATTTGGAGGGGAGATGTGATTGGCTGGCAGTGGGGGTGCAGGTTTAGAGGGGCTCATGGTCCCCCATAGCTCCCTATAGACACCCCATAGACCCCCACAGAGACCCACAGCCCCTCACAGACGCCCCATAAAACCCTATAGCTCCCCATAAGCACCCCATAGAGCCCCATAGTCCCTCATAGACACACTATGGACCTCCACAGCACCCCATAGCCTCCCCAGACCTCCATAAACTCCCCATAGAGCCCCACAGCTTCCCATAGACCCACGTAGACCCCCCGCAGCCTCTCACAGATACCCCACAGACCCATATATCACCCCACAGAACCCCACAGTCCCTCACAGGCACCCCATAGCTCTGCACAAAACCCCACAGCCCCTATTCTCCCCTACGGGGCCGGGCTGCAGCACTTGCACCCAGCGTTGGGGGGGGGTCGGACTCTACAACTGCTGTTAATGGGGGGGAGAGACCCCAACTCCCCCCTGCCCAGCTCTATGGGGATGGGACCCCGTGTGGCACCAGGACCCCCATAGCCCCCCCCCGTGATAAATGGGACGCCCGAGCCCCCCCGTATGAGCCCCGGGACCTCTGAGGCGCCTTTATTGGGGAATGAGCCCCCCATAGGTAAGGACTGGGGCCCCCAAGTTACCCCCATGGGGCCCTGTAGGCCCCGCTCCGCCTGCGCTGCCACAGCCCCTCCGGTGCCGCCGCCATTTTGGAATGAGAGCGGAAGTGCGGGGCGACTCGATGGTGCCGGCCTCGGGCGGGAAGGGGCGGGTCCAAGGGAGGGACCGCCCCCTGCGGCCTTAAAAGGGCAATGGGAGATGAGGTTGGTGCCGCGGCACTTAAAGGGGCAATGGAGTAAAGGGGGCAGAGTGAGGCAGTGAGGCCACGCCCCCTGTGCCCTTATAGGGGTGCCAGGACCGCTCGTGTCAAACGGGCGGAGTCAAAGCTGTTGAGGCCAGGCCCTCGTACCCTTAAAAGGGCAATGGGTCGGAACCGCTAATGAGGGCTCACTGCATGTCTTAAAGGGGCAATGGACCCAAAGGGGGCGGAGTCAAGGCAGTGAGGCCACGCCCCCTGTGCCCTTATAAGGGTTCCAGGGCCGCTCAGCGGGGTTTCCTTGTGCCCTCCGTTCAAAGCCCCTCCAGCTCCAGCTCCAGCTCCACCCCTACCACGGGCAGGGACCCCCCCCACCATGGCAGCCCCCGTGTCCAGCCCGGCCCGGAGCGCTGCCGGGCTCGGCAGGCCCTGGTTCATTACCACTGCTCATTAATGAGGCCCTTTCGGTTCCCCACAAGGGCGGCTCCTCTGAGCCGTTCCCCTGTGCAGCACAAGGAGCCACAGCTCCGAGCCCACTCCCCTGCAGCAGCAGATCCAGCAAGTGCCCCCCCGCTCCCCACGGGGGCCATGGCAGAGGGGGGAAGCCCAGCACATCCCAGCTGCAGAGGAGGCTCCCGGGAGCAGGCCAGCTCCTGGCACAGGGACTCTGCCAGCTCCAGGTCCAGCCTGCACTGGGCTCTGAAACAAGGGGGTTCTGTTTGTCCATTGAGAGCGGTAACTCCGTAGGCGCCAGAGTTCTCAGGTCACTTGGGTGCTCACATCTCATCTATGGTGAGCAAGGCGCACGGAACGTGACCCCGTTGCTAGGATAGGATGTAACCATATTGTTAAATAGCGGGTCACAGTATCCCAGTATCCCAGTATGTTGGAGATTGGAAGGGACCTCAAAAGATCATCCAGTCCAATCCCCCTGCCGGAGCAGGAACACCTAGATAAGGTTACACAGGAACGTGTCCAGGCGGGTTTTGAATGTCTCCAGAGAAGGAGACTCCACAGCCTCCCTGGGCAGCCTGTTCCAGTGTTCCGTCACCCTCACTGAGAAGAAGTTTCTTCTCAGGTTTAAGTGGAACCTCTTGTGCTCCAATTTGTACCCATTACCCCTTGTCCTTTCATTGTTTGCCACTGAGAAGAGCCTGGCTCCATCCTCGTGACACTCCCCCTTTATATATTTATATACACTAATAAGGTCACCCCTCAATCTCCTCTTCTCCAAACTATAGAGACCCAGCTCCCTCAGTCTTTCCTCATAAGGGAGATGCTCCACTCCCTTCATCATCTTAGTTGCCCTGCGCTGGACTCTCTCCAGCAGGTCCCTGTCCTTTTTAAACTGAGGGGCCCAGAACTGGACACAATATTCCAGATGAGGTCTCACCAGGGCAGAGTAGAGGGGAAGGAGGACCTCTCTCGACCTACTAACCACCCCCCTTCTAATACACCCCAGGATGCCATTGGCCTTCTCGGCCACAAGGTGTCCATGTGAAACAGCCACAACAAACGATGCAGCCAGCCCAGAGCTCCTGTAACCGGAGCAGAACCTGCGCTGCTCAAGCCCCGAGGTACCAAGGGGCAAGCGAGGAAGCAGAAGGGAAGTTACCTGGGGCAGTGACCCCCAGCGGGGCTGAGGTTCCAGTGCCCGCTCCATGGATGGGAGCAGGGACCGGGCAATGACCACGCCTCCCTGCCCGGCTCCTTGAGCCCTGACCCTCGGGCGGTTCATGCGTGCATGGGGCCCGTGCAAGCCCTGCACTGCCGGGCCATTACCGGG